GTACGGTGTCGAATAAATCGGTGTCGAATCGTACGGTGTCGAATAATTTGGTGTCGAATAAATTTGTGTCCAATAATTTTGTGTCCAATAATGTGGTGTCGAATCGATCGGTGTCGAATCGTACTGTGGTCAAATGGAACACGCCCCTTAGATCTGCTTCTTCACAGTGTCTCGTCAGAACGTAAGACTTTTTCTCCCACGCTAAACGCTGCTTGCATTGTCTTCTTGTCATAGTAACGTTTCGCTTTTTCCTTTTCTTCTTTGAGCTTTTCCCGTGCTACTCGATTTGTCGCTCGCAATTTTTCTTTTAATTCTTGCGCGTAGTTTTCTAAATTGTACTGTGTAGACGGTGGTTTTGTTAAGGCGGTAATTCCGTGCACCTCCCGTATACTAATTCGAAGGGTGTAAACACTGTTGCCGTGTGTGGTGTCGTATTGTACGCGAACATTGCATACGGCACCCACTCGTCCCAATTCGTCTGGTCCTCGTTTACGTGGTGACATATATACTCGGCTAACGTTCTACGCGATCGCTCTAATGTTCCGTTACTTTACGGATAATAAGCCGTTGTTTGTATTGTATTCATTCGCAGTAACTTGCAAACATTTTTACATAGTTTGCTTACAAAATTCGTTCCTTGATCTGTTAAAATCGTTTCCGGAATCCCGTGCTCACACACAACTTTCGTCGCGAACTCCTTTGCTATCGTAGCGGCTTCTTGATTCAAAACGAGTATTGCTTTACTAAAGTTCGTGAGACCGTCTTGAAACGTCAGCAGATATTTGATTCCGCTACTTGTCACCGGTAACGGTCCGACAATATCAAACGCACATTTTTCGAAAGGTTTTTTTCGGCGTATCTGTAATTATTAGAGGTACTTTTAGTTTTCGCGACAACTTATTCTTCTGGCAGGATTCGCAATTCGAAATATAATTCTCCACGTCGCTTGCCAGCTCAGGCCTGTCGTACCTCATTCTTTTTCTTTTTATTGTACGTGCTATTCCTTGGTGTGCGCCCACCGGTTAATCATGATACTCGTACACTATTTGTCTCTTATCCTTTTCGGTTAGCTCTTGCCTCTCGCTCTTCTCTTCTTTTGTTTTCTTGTTCTCCTTTGTTTCGCACGTGCATGCTACCGCGGGAGCTCTACTCAGCGCGTCTGCGTTGGTATTCGCCTTAGTAGTTAAGATATAGGGGTTCTGATCAAAGGGCACCGCAAAAAGGGGAGGGGAAGAGGAGGGATAACCGCGCGAGGGAAAGGGGTGGGAAAAGGAGCGGTCAATGAAAGGAAGGCGGAAGGAAGAGTTGCGTGTGTTCAAGGTTGTTTGGATGATGACGTCATCGCTAAAATAGAAATTGCGCATTAAAATAAATAAATCGAGGAAAACTGCAAATTCCTGGAAGCGCGCTTTTTCTTACCACCAAAACAATCAATCACTTCCGGTTTAATGACGCAATGGTTTTTTTAAATTGCACTTTCAAACCTAAAAATTTTGAAGAAACATAAGGAGCGAAATAAAAAGNCGCCTCGAAGTTGGGAGCGAGTCACAAGTCATTTTGATCGCAAGTCGTATAAAAAATAAGTCGTCGTTTGTTGTTGTTGTTGGTGAAATGTTTAACAGATTGAACACGGGGTGCACATTAAACCTATCGGTCAAAGTGTTGAAAAACATTCCAAAGAGGATTCTTCTAGAAGTGTTCGATAATTACGTGGAGCTTTTGTGGGACCAACTGCCTGAGCATTTGAAGAAAGATTCTGAGGTGCAGCTGTATCGTAGATGTCTCGAGCATTACAAACAACCGGGAGATTACAATCACATTGATGGACCTGCTCCGCTGAAAAAATATTGTCGCGTGTGTATTGCGAAAGCCAAGATAGAAAATCAACAATAAATCAGATCAGACAACCGAAATCGCTTCAGTTCCTAGCCGCGAAAACAGTAGCAAAACATGTAGATGAGTACAGCGTTCGAACAGTCAACAATGTCGCACGCTTTGTCAACATCGACGACAACGACAATGTCCACCATGCTGCGTTCCTCGGTGGACATACCAATATTTGCGGATCTCCAAGGTTTTAGCATTTTGATTAAGTCTATGCGTTATTCTTAGCGTGCGTCTTGCATTTGCAAGATCAGCCGCAACTTCCATATGCAACTCTATATAAAACGTCTCGCGACTTCCAGAGTCGGTGACGCTTCCGCTGCAGCCGTCTGGCGCGCGTTGCGGTTTTCCTTGTACTAAATATATATATATATATATATTGCCATGCGTGCAACAGCTTTTTATTTGCAACATTGGTGTTATTTGTTCTGTAAAATATTGCGATTGTTGCGCCCTCCCTTCTTCAATCGCTACCCGCGCGACAATTGACTGTTATTTAGTATCAGTTTGCGCGCGAAGACGATGACGTCGCTCGCATTGCCATTGGCATTTCTCGCGCTCCTCGTCGCGTTCACGACGTCGACGTCAATCGCGTTGACGAGATCGATGACAAATACGACAAAAAGGAGCGTTGTCGATGGAAGAGAGACCGCTATCGCGTTCCTACGCAAGTACGGTTACCTAGAGGACAACGTAGATAACTCATTGATTTCCGAGGGCGCGTTGAATCACGCTGTCTCGCTTTTTCAAGAATTCTACAATCTACTCACAAATGGTGAATTAAACATGGAAACGATGCGCACAATGAACAGACCGCGTTGTGGAGTTCGAGACATCCAGACGCGTTACTCGAACAAGGAGTACATACACAAGTGGCCGACTACTCATCTCACATGGAACTTTTTGTTTGCTTCTAGAGCGAATCTACAAATAGCGGAGGCTGCGTTTGCTCTGTGGGCAGCGAATTCATCGCTGACTTTTACACGCAGCGTGCACAATCCTAACATAGTGATTTCATATAAAGGTGGACGGCACACTATGTGAGACAAGCATTACTCGGATACTATGTGTCCGTTTGACTTTGATGGTCAAGGTGGAGTACTCGCTCACGCGTATTATCCCAACGGAAATCTCAACCATGTCTCTAAGATACATATCGACAATGAGGAACAGTGGCACGTGCAGCTCACTGAAAATCCGTGGAATAAGGATCATCTGTTGCACACACTGACTCATGAGATCGGACATGCTATAGGAATAGAGCACAGTCTACACGACAATTCGGTAATGTACGCGTTCGTGCCTGTTAAACAGTGGCCTGTTACGCTCAGCCTGGATGATGTTCTGGCTGTGCACAACCATTATGGACCTAACCCGAATGCACCTGAACTACCGCCGGTCTCTACATTTGTCTCTCCGACGGTCGCACCGACTACGACGACAACAACGACGTCGCAGCCGCCGTTGCCGCGTAAACCCAAGCCGCTACCACCTAAGCATGTGTGCAAAGTGCGTAATCCCGATGTAATACTTTTGATGAAAACTATTACAATCATTGCGTATGATAAATATGTGTATATAGCCTCTTCGAACTGGGGCCCGCATATTTATCCACATCTGTTGAAAGAATACTTGCGCTTTCTCCCATCTAATTTTACAAAGCTGGATGCGGCTTATCAACAATCATCCGGCGAGCTCGTGCTCTTCGCCGATAGTTATGTGTACTTGGTTTCCTATTCCAGTTTACAATTGCAAGACGGTTGGCCGCGCAGTTTCTCTAAGATTGGATTGCCTAGCGATGCCGCCATTAACACTGCGTTTCAATCTTCTATGGGCGTCGTCCACACGGACACGGCTGTCGCCTGTGTGCGTATCCCCTCCACTTGATGCTGAATGCTTACTAAGTCCACGAACTGGCATCTCTGGTAACTCCTTTTCTGTCGTGCTGTAGTTTCGCTCAGCTTTATTCAGTACTCGGCTTGCGTATGCAACCGGCCGATCCTGACCTACCGCACCTTGCGATAGCACCGCGCCGACCGCGTAACCCGACGCTTCGGTTGTCACAATAAACTCTTTGTCGAAGTCCGGATATGCGAGCAACGGAGCGCTAATTAACTTTTCTTTCAAATTCTCGAACGCTTGCTGTTGCTCGCGCCCCCACTCGAACGCTACTTCTTTCTGCAACAGTCGTGTCAACGGCTTTGTTATTTTTGAGAACTGGTCGATAAATTTTCTGTAGTATCCTGCCAGACCAATGAACGCCTGTATATCTTTTGTTTCTTTCGGAACCGGAAATCCTTTGACCGCCTTTACTTTCGACGGATCCGGCGATATACCCTTTTCGGTGATTACGTGCCCTAAATATGTGACCTTTTTGCGAAACAATTTGCACTTATCCGGCTGCAACTTTAAATTGTATTTCCGCAACCTGTCAAAAACCTCTCGTAGCCGCTTGCTATGTTCTTGCAAGCTCGCACCGTGTATCACGATGTCATCGAGATACACAAAACACTTGATACCCTGTAGTCCCATCAGGACCGAGTTCATCAATCTTTGAAACGTCGCCGGCGCATTTTTCAATCCAAAAGGCATTCTGTTATATTCATAGTGACCATGCGGCGTTGAAAACGCCGTCTTACCTCTGTCTTCTTCGTCCATTAATATCTGATGATACCCGGACGCCAAATCTAACGTTGAAAAATACTTCGCATTCCCAAGTTGATCCGATATTTCTGCAATATTTGGCAGTGGAAAAAAATCGCCTATTGTTGCCTTGTTTAGCCGTCGAAAATCTACGACTATTCTTAGTTTTCTCACGCCGGACGCGTCCAATTTTTTCGGAACCACTAGTAAAGGTGCGTTCCACTGACTTTCACCATCGCGTATTATTTCGCTTTCTAACATTTTTCCGATTTGTTTTTTTACCTCCTGCTTATGCTTCTGCAGCAACCTATATGGCTTAACGCTTATCGGGGTGGTGTTAACTATCACAGGTATTTTATGTTTCACCGCGCTTGTTTTAGATAACGGCTCCCCTGCAAGATGGAATATATCTTGATAATCCTCGCATATCTCGTACAATGTTTCTTTCTCTTCTTTATTTAAATGCTGTACTTGCAGTGTCTTTTTTACTCTTTCGCGGCGTGTCGACCCCTCCGCTTTTATGCTTACGTTTGGTACTTTGCTACTTGTTTCACTCTCTTCTTCGAGCGCTTTCAATTTAACACGCGGAGTGCCTATATATTGTAATCGTTTTTTTCGTAGTATTTATTATACTCACGGGGCAAAAATTTTCTTTTGGTTGTACTAAACAGCTTCCTATGAAAACTCCTGGCTGCGTCTCTTCTCTTTGCACTACTCCGATTTGATCACTATCAGTAATAGCTCGCACGATTGTTTCGCTACGAGGTTGCAATTTTACACTTTTATATGGGCGCAACTGCAATGTATTTTTCCTCAGCGAGAGTCTTTCCGCTTTGTATTTTTCCGGCTTAGAATTGTGCTTTTTCATAAAGTCATTTCCTAAAATGGTTTGATAGCTACCTGGGAAATCGTCTCTTACAACATAAACTGGATGCTTAATATTTTTGTCTTTTAGCCGTATAGTTGCTGTGATTTTCCCGGGTGACACTCTATTGACCACAGTACGATTCGACACCGCTCGATTCGACACAGATTTATTCGACACCAAATTATTCGACAC